CAGAAGATAGAAAAATGGAATTGGAATCTATTTTGAATGTGGCTAGACTACACGATTACCCTATGTGCCTAATTAAAACACTTATAGCACGCCACCAACAACCTAAGAATACGGCACTTTGGAATAACCAGTCCTTCGTTCCTATTACTTACAACAAGATCCTTTATAGCACCTACAAACAAATCGCTTGATATGCTGGTAAAAATATCGCTTACAGGAGATCGCAGACCATTTTCTCCTGTTTACGAAACGATAAGGACCGTCTTGATAGGATCTGTGTTCCGGGAATATATTCTATTCCTATTTACGATCATAGGGTGAATCATCCAGGCGAGTATATTGGGGCTACCGCATGCTGCCTTAAAACAAGAATCAAGGAACACAAGTACTCAATTCAAAAATGCCTTTCCAATATGGCTTTGGCCGCTTTCGTGCTTGATGATGACGTTAGGGTGGAATTTGGTAATGCACGTTTAATACAACGGTGTGAACACCAGGCCAGCCTGAAATATCTGGAATAGCTGGAAATTTTTAAAGCGTTCAGAAAGGGAACGGCCAGCAATTTCAAGGAAACAGACTCTTTGGTGACGGCGTGGAGGGCGTATTATGACATATAATGGATGCGCACCATATATGTCTACCCCTCCCTTTACTCAGGCTGAAATTGACTGGGCTATCAATAAACTCTCTCTCTATAGAGCCCCTGGTCTGGATGGGCTAACTGCAGGTATCGTGAAGAACATTTGGACTAACCGTCCTAACATCATCTCCCACGTTATGAACATCTGCCTTCATTTCGGTATTTTCCCAGATCCTTGGAAGGAAGCTAGAATTGTCCCTATCCCAAAAGTTGGGAATCAGCCCATTTGCACTCCCAATGATTATCGCTGCATTTCTCTTCTTCCTGTTCTTTCCAAAGTCTATGACCGTCTCTTGAGCAATAGGCTTAATTGGCACCTTGAGGCCAATAACTTTCTTAGCCCCCAACAGTTTGGTTTTAGGCAAGGCCGGGGCACCACTGATGCTATCCTTGCCATGACTGACAAGGTTAAACTTCTTCTTCAGTCTTACCCTTATGTCTTGGGGCTTAGTTTGGATATTAGCAGCGCCTTCAATGCCGCTTGGTGGCCTCTCATTCTCTTGAGGCTGCGGCAGGCTCGCTGTCCTGCTAATATTTACCATGCTTTCTCAGACTACCTGAATAATAGGTATGTTACTTTTATTTCAGGTAACACTGAAATCAGGAGAAAGACTTCTAGAGGCTGCCCACAGGGTTCCATTTCTGGCCCTGTGTTCTGGAATCTGCTCTTTAATAACTTCCTTTCTGACATCCAGGACTGTGATGGTATTTTTGCATATGCGGATGATGCTCTGATCCTTCTGGCAGCCTTTTCTCGCTCTAAATTGGAGTGCAAGGCCAAAAAAGTGATGGACAACATTACTGAGTGGGGCAAGAAGTATAAATTAGAGTTTAATGCCAACAAAACCAAGGGCATAGTTTTTACGAATCCCGGTAAACCTCATCTTTACCAGAGGCCACCCACTATAAAAATGGATGGGGTTTCTATCAAAATCACTACCACTATCAAGTATCTAGGGGTCATCATCGACCACAAGCTAAACTGGGCTGACCATATTGCCTATATAACCGACAGGACTAACCATCTATTCAACACTGTCTCCAAGGTGGCAAAGTCGAAGTGGGGGCTTTCCCCAGCTATTCTTTCTACAATCTATGACAGTGTCTTTCTACCAATGATCTGCTATGCCGCCCCAGTGTGGGCTGGCTGTTTAGGCCGTGTGCACATTGAACGGAAACTCCGTAGTGCACAACGCAGAGCTCTTCTTCGTATCTGCCGTGCCTTTTCTACTTCCTCCACGGCTGCCTTACAGGTCATCTCTGGTAAAATGCCTATTGACCTTGCTATTTCATTGGCTTCCAAAGGTTGGCACCTTCGCAAGGGTCACAGTATCTGTCTGGCCAACCAATCATCATTTACCTCTTATGAGACTAATTGCCACCTGTCAGATCTACTTCCTCCCTTTCTTCGACCCCAAATCAAAAACCAGCCTCTTGACCATGAAGATTTAACCATCTATACTGACGGCTCTAAGTCTGAGGAGAATGTTGGTAGTGCGTTTGTGGTGTATCAGGATGGTGTGGAATGCTACTGTGGGACTGGTCATCTTGCCTCAAACTGCTCGGCGTATCAGGCAGAGCTAACCGTCATCTTGATGGCTATTGAGTGGTGCAACAACTACAAAAGCAACAACAGGATCAACATCTTTACAGACTGCAGATCTACAATTGATGCCATCAATTATCATCTGCCTAAGAACCCCCTTGTCATCAAGATTCAAGCAAGCATTGCCGCCTCTAATAACGATTTCGCCATCTCATGGATTAGAGGTCATGCGGGACTGCTTGGCAATGAGAGGGCTGACTTCCTTGCCGGGGAAGCTGCCAGTCTCTCTTCTAATATGTGTCTTTATTCTCTCACACCTGCTTCCTTCATTAAGCATCTTCTCAGAACAGATGCAATTAACACCTGGCAAGAAAGGTGGAACAACTGCCATGAGGGTCGGACAACTTGGAAATTTTTTCCTAATGTTCCTACCACTAATCCTACCTTTGATGGCCACGACACCCACCTGTTCACCCAATTTCTGACCGGACATGGCAGATTCAACAGTTACCTTCGTAGGTTTGGTCACTCTGACAGCGACCAGTGCATTCATTGTGGTGTTCCGGACGGTGTCCAGCACTATATCTTTCACAGCCCTATGCTGGAAGACTCCAGGGAAACAATTCGTCTTTTTCTTCCTACAGGCAGCACCTGGCCCTGCCATGAAAGCTTTCTCCTACAGGATGGTAATTTGTTCTCAGCCTTCAAGAACCTCGTGAAGAACTATTTTCGCCGTACCTCAATCAAGTGAATAGTGCTCTAAGGACGTCTCTGCATCCCACGTTATTGTACTGTTTGTTTTTGTCACTGTGCCTCCCACTTCCACTTCTGCAGTTCCTGCATTAATGGCCCTATTCGATGTATGTTTTACTTGTATATATTTGACTTATTGTATTTTTCCTCAATGTAGTTAATGTAAATTGTTTGTGGATTCTATAGCTATATATATTTCAGTCATTGTATTCTTTTAAATGTACTCCTTTATTGTACTTTATTTGTAATGTACTGTATCCTATCTTACTTTGTATTTTATGTCATACTACTTAGTTTTGTACTTTACTTTATTGTACTGTATGCTACTCTGATTTTATTTTATTTTAACTTTATTTTATTATTTTCACTCAATTATTGTTACTTTATATATACCATGTACCATTTATTAAACCTACGTGTTCTGACCCCACCCGGTTGTGCCTATGCGGTGCCGTGTCTTTGTATTAACTTTTGTACATAATAAAGATTAAGATTGAACTGAACTGAACTGAACTGAACTATAATATAAACATCGGATTTTTTGAAGCAGGAAACCAATTACACAAATAATTTTATTAAGGCCCTGCATCGAACATGCGCATAACTGCGATGTTCGATTTTTTGAAATCTTGGATTCGAACTTGATGATGACCGTTGAAGACAGTAGAAAACGTTCGTTTTTTAAATCAATTTATGCTGGTATGTTGGTAATTTCGTGGTTATGTTCTTAATTCTCACACCAGTATGATGAATGATTGATTCAGAGACAAGTAAATTCGACTTATGTTGCCTCTCCTGGAACCAATTACTGACGTAAGGCGAGGTATACCTGTAAATTGAAAATATATTTTGTTAGAACAATGATGAGGCAGTCTTTTAACTTAGAATTAAACTTTATTCTAATCTAAAACTATACATGTACTTGTTCTCAGATCCATAACTTGGTGCACAACTGAAAATAGGTCTCCTCTTGTTTCAAGTGATCTTGCACAGTCTTGCTAGTTCATACACATTTTGCCATATTGATACTTGCTTTAGTTTAGTATTTCCTAACATATTTTATGACTTAATTCATTTTACTTCAAATGCTTTTTAGTAACAAGTAAACATAAAATGAATTGCATGCTTATTTGATATTGCTAATTCAAATTTAAACATTTTTAACTTTAAAAAATTTTTATTTAGTATTTGTTTATTTTGTGTAAAAATGCTGCAATAATTGGAATTTTGGATCTTAATTGAAAAACAGTTCTAAAAATCCAGGACAAAATATATATTTAAAAGTTTAAGAAGACTTTGAACTCTTCTTAAACTTTTTTTTAATTCCTTAAACACCTGTGAAGAAACATAAAAAAAGAAAAACTTTCAAAAGTTTTTCTATTTTTTATATGTCTTCACAGGTATATATTTTTTTGCATTCTTTAAACATCAATTGAGATTTAGTATAAAAATGAAAAAGGCATGTAACAACAGGTTCTCATTCCATAATATGGATAATGTGATTTATATAATTGACAAATTTATTACNTATATATAAATTGTACAATGCATTACTGAATATATTTTAAAAATTTTAGTAGTTACTAGTTAATGTTTTTTTTAAACATCTATATTTTCAAAGTTTTTTTGAGTCAAAAATTTGTATGCGCACCTTATCTATCATATTTCAAGTTATTTCCCATTGGAGAAAGTAACATGAAAAAAATTATAGTAAAATATAGAGAACCATGGCTGTAACCAAGTCTGTAATTCTTGTGCTAGATCCCACTAATAACAGATATTGGCTTTTAATTTTGTCCTACTGAAATTGTTATATCAGAATTATATCAAATATTTCAGATTTCATTATGAATTGTTTAATTCTGTTTCAAAGCTTTATATCAAAGTACAGGCAATATTATATTTCTACATTTAACATTTATTTACATTTTATATCAATCTTCATGATAATTTTTAAAGATTTATTTTAATTATTGCTTAATATAATTTATTGTAATAAATTTGTAAAAAAATGCTTTTTAAATTTTTCTTAAAAAGTGAAATATTTTTTTTTTGTTTTAGAACTACTGCGAAAATCTGCAGAACATTCTTTAATTGATATGGTACAGCTACTCTTTTCAAGACTTCCTCAATTTTCAGAAGATAATAAATGGATAGCTACTAGAAAAGTAAAGTGTATATTATTATTATTATTGTGTTTTGTGAGTTATACTCGATTATTATTATTATTATGTTGGGTTTTATGAGTTATACTCGGTTCACATTGGTGGCTGTGTACTATGCCGGACCAGAGTCAAGGCATAGCAACCAAAACAAAACTAAAATTAAATAAGTGTGTCAGTGTNCTCTATATATAAATTGTACAATGCATTACTGAATATATTTTAAAAATTTTAGTAGTTACTAGTTAATGTTTTTTTTAAACATCTATATTTTCAAAGTTTTTTTGAGTCAAAAATTTGTATGCGCACCTTATCTATCATATTTCAAGTTATTTCCCATTGGAGAAAGTAACATGAAAAAAATTATAGTAAAATATAGAGAACCATGGCTGTAACCAAGTCTGTAATTCTTGTGCTAGATCCCACTAATAACAGATATTGGCTTTTAATTTTGTCCTACTGAAATTGTTATATCAGAATTATATCAAATATTTCAGATTTCATTATGAATTGTTTAATTCTGTTTCAAAGCTTTATATCAAAGTACAGGCAATATTATATTTCTACATTTAACATTTATTTACATTTTATATCAATCTTCATGATAATTTTTAAAGATTTATTTTAATTATTGCTTAATATAATTTATTGTAATAAATTTGTAAAAAAATGCTTTTTAAATTTTTCTTAAAAAGTGAAATATTTTTTTTTTGTTTTAGAACTACTGCGAAAATCTGCAGAACATTCTTTAATTGATATGGTACAGCTACTCTTTTCAAGACTTCCTCAATTTTCAGAAGATAATAAATGGATAGCTACTAGAAAAGTAAAGTGTATATTATTATTATTATTGTGTTTTGTGAGTTATACTCGATTATTATTATTATTATGTTGGGTTTTATGAGTTATACTCGGTTCACATTGGTGGCTGTGTACTATGCCGGACCAGAGTCAAGGCATAGCAACCAAAACAAAACTAAAATTAAATAAGTGTGTCAGTGTGTGTGTCTGTATTCAGGAATTTCCTAACAATGTGGCATGTATTCAATATAGTAGCCTTCTGTAGTGTGATGTATGTATTNGTTATATTTTAAAATTCTACAAATTTTAACTTTTCTGTATAAATTTTTATTTTAATTAATTAATTTATTTACTTTCTGAATATTCAACTTATTTACTGAAGATTAGCTTATTTTTTTTTGAAAAAGTACAGTACAAAGATAGACGACAAAAATTTCAACATTAAGTAACTAAATAAGAAAAAAATGAAGTTTGATGTTTAAATGCTATAATTTAATGAAACTAACTCACAATAGCATTTTTCTATGGTTGTTGAAATACTGAATATAAATAGGGTTGGCTTGCAAAATTCCCGCAGGCGAAGTTGTGGGTAACAGTAGTTTTATATACAGGGTGTTTTTTTAAAACTGACAGTACTCAGAGACATCTGTAGAGCAATCTAACAGCCAGATTGTCTCCAAATTTGGGATAGTGAGTAAGGACGACATGGGAAAGAGATTCTGTGAAGAAAAAAATAGTAGTACCCAAATTCGTCGGTAGGGGTGGATTTTGCACTGTTGTAGCAAAACAGCTAAGAATTTGTATAAAACCCAGTTGCAATTAACAAACACGAATGAATAATCAGACAGAGGTTTCAGTGCAATAACAAAAATTTAATTAATCAGCAAATAACCTTCTCTCTCCTTCAATGTGACCACCGTCCTGCTAGACAACACATTGCATCTTGAACACTGTGTTTTCTATAGCCGAATGTAACATGTCCACAGGAATGTTCATCAGAGTTCGAGAAATGTTATTTTTCGAGGTCATCAAATTGAAGACACCGCCAAGATAGACCTTGGACTTTAAGTAACCCCAGAAGAAAAAGTCACATGGGGTTAGATCGGGAAGTTAGATCCGGGGGTTAGAACCTTCAATGGGTGCAGTCGCAACATCACTAACTGTCTGTGCAGACACCGGTTTCTGCTCTCTACCAGACTGAACTGCTAAGGATCCTGTCTGTTCAAATATCTTTATCAAGTCTTTCAATGCATTAATTGATAGAGGACCTTTGTGCAGGTTGTTATGGATTTTAAACTCATGAAGAGCACCCGGTGTGCTCGATGGATTAAGATAATAAAGTTTTACAAGCAACGCACGCTGAGGTAACGAAAGATGCATGTCAAACTCTGCTGACGTCCGGAATGCGCTTCAGACTTTTGTCCTTTTCTTTTAAGTTCAAATTAGGTGGCACTGCTGTTGACCACGTGATTGTGAATTTGGATTTTGAAGTGTTACCAGCGCGTTATGCAAATTCTTAGCTGTTTCGCTACAGCAGTGCCAAATCCACCCCTACTGGAGAATTTGGGTACTACAGTAGAGTCCTGAAAACTCGGCACTCGAGTAACCCGGCAGTTCGGATAACTCAGCCACACCCTGGCAGGGCGAAAAAGCCCCTAGTTAATTTTCATTATAGACAGCTTTATGCCTCATAAAGTAATTTTCTGAGATCTGTCTTATGACATAAATTACTGTACACTGTGTATTCATTAATTTTCATTTTCATGTAGTAAAGGATTTATGCCTTCATAAAGTATGTAATTTTCCTTTGTTTAAGGTTATTTGGGCAGTTTATTCTCTGTTGTATTTTCAAGCAAACAATACATACAATTACAGCACAGTATTTTCTGAGGAAACACTCGTACTTATTCTTTTTTAACCCCATTTTCGATAACCCAGCATTTTCACAAACTCGGCCACCCTTTGGTCCACATTAGGCTGAATTTTCGGGACTCTACTGTACTATTTTTTTCTTTGTGGAATCTCTTTCCATATCGTCCTTAGTCACTATCCCAAATTTGGTACCAATCCGGCTGTTAGATTGCTTTACAGATGTCTCTGAGTACTGTCAGTTTAAAAAAAACACCCTGTATTTCAGTTATGTTCCAAGCTTGTGCATAAGGAACAATTTTGGAAAATGCTTTTTACCATATTCCATTTTTTCAAATGCTACATTCTGTTCTGTGTGAATGATAATTTTGCCTGAAGAGGACAGTTACAGGAAGTCCTTGTTAATTTAAACTCGAATAGTTTGAAATCCTGTTAGTTTGTAACTGTATTTTTGTCTTGGCTGGGAATATATTGATTTAAGAGTTAAGGAATTTAGTTAGTTCAAAATATGACTATGTCAAAATTTAAAGTGAAAATTCTGTCCTAACTGTGATATATGTATGTTAACTTGTTTAGATCAAAGTTTCTCCATACTATAAGATAACAATAGATCTCCAATCTGATTAATATGACTTTGCTTTTACAGTAATACATTTTCAGGTGTCACCTTACCCATAGACTACCCTTTTTTCTCTTATTCCATAAAATACAGCTGGGTTTTGGGATTGCAAGATTGGGTTATGAATAGCAAATTGAGATACTTATACGGCTCTAAACTACTACATTTGGGTGACTTCCTACTTTTTGGGCTATATTTCCAGGAATTCTTCTTTACTTTTTATAAAACCTATCTGGTGAGCTGTGAGGATATGTGCTGTTTACCTGCAATTTATTTATATAATTATTATTATTATTAAGTAACATAATTAGCATTTTGTATATGTAGCCATATTCTGTTTGCTTAATAAATTATATCAGTTACATGACATTTGGCATATTGTAGAAACATTTAAATCGCGGATAATTTGAAGTTGTGATTATTTTGTCCCTTGAATTTCAAACTAATGAGAATTATCTGTATATACTGTTGAAAGTACTTGTGTAAATAAACCTTTTCTGTAACATTGACTCACAGTTGTGTTGTTAATTTTGTGAAGAGAGAATTACATGGCATCTTTATGCTTTATTTTCTTTTTTTTCAGTACTATCAATCAACGTGTGAGCTTGATCACCAATAAACAGCACATTTCCCACATTCTATCAGTTGTATTTAGCATTCAAAATTGAATGTATTACCTTATTCTTTATATATTTTAATTCTGGCATAGTCAAACTTTTTACTTGTTTGGAATGTTGAAGAAAAATTTTGCAATAATAATAAATGTTACTGGGACTTACAATTAGACAGACAATCAATGAAATTATAACTCTGAATCAAGAATTAAAGTTTTTAGTCTTGATAAAATTGATTGCAGATTATGTTGAAAAATATTGTAATGTCAAAATGAGTAAACATTTTTAGTAAAATTTTTCTGTGCTTTAATCAGATTTTTTATTTATTTCTGAACAATTATAGAAATAAATATTTTTCTGGATAAAAATATAATTTAAAGTCAGTTTATCTATTTGAAATGATATAACTTTATTGAGATATCACGGTATTCCATGACTTCTTGTGGCTTATATATAGTAATCACTTTATATATAGAAGTATAAATTTTTATAAATTATAATCTGTGTGTTTAATATGTTTTCTTAAATCCATTCTTTTTTATAGTTACATATGAAGGCAATTGGGATTGATTCTTCTAGAAATAGCTATAGAAGAAGATTGCACATCAAGCATAAGAAAATTAATCAGACTAATAAACTTGATACAACTGTTCAAAATCCATCTTCCAATGTTACAAATTCAGATGATAGTGGTTGTGTTTCATCTATATCTTCACCTGAAACATTTTCAGATCAAAAAATAAGTAATGAAAGTTTTGAGCAAGATATTCAAAATTATCAAGAAAGTTCTTCACAAGAAGAAACACTTGAAAATAAGTGTAATGCTGCCGATTCACAATGTAATATTGACAGAAGTAAAAGAGAAATTTCTTTATATATGCATGATGATGATGCCAACAGGAAAAGCAGTTTATCTCAGGTATTTTTATAAATTCTTAAATAAATTTAATTCAATTATTATTATTTTTTAATTTCAAAATATGTGTGATTGAAAAGATTTAATATTAAACTTGATAGAGATAATTAAACTAAATATAAAATATTTATTTTATATTTGAGGATATAATGAGAAATAGATATCTGTCTTTCAACATCATTGTTTATGAAAAAAATAAGATGATAAATACATTCTTTTAATTATACAAAAAATATTTGAAATTTTATTATTTATTTATGTGGTTTTAACAAAGTGTAATATCAGAAGCTAAGTTTAATTAATTAAGGAATGAATTTTAGATGAAATTTAAGCAAAAAATCTAAGATTTAATCTAATAGTATTAGCATTGATCTCACCCAAAATTACACAATTTCTAGTGTGATATTAGTAAAGAAAATCATTGATAAGAATTATATGCAGAATACTTTTATTGAGCTTTATTACTTGATACCATTAGGGTTAAGTTTTTTAGAATAGCAAATTATTTTAAATTTGAACTTAAGCAACAAAATAAAATAGACCAATTATTGTAGATTAGTTTATTAAGAAATGATACATGAAAAAATTGTAGTTGATGAATTTATAAAAGTAAATAAAATAGCACATAAATTGAATAGTTAGTTATAAAAGAAACAGAAATAAAATTTTGTTAAAAATTGTTTAAGGCATCCAAAAACGATTGAAAATTCAACAACTTAAAAGTACTACAGTGGAACCCTGTTAAGAAGTTTTTGAAGGACCACTCTAAAAAATTTCTTATGCAGGAACTGTAAAAAAAAAAAAAATTATCTGTATAATTAATTTTATTTCAATATCAAAGTACTAGAACATAGCATAATGTAACATAGTAGAGTAGTAAGATGCACTGACTACAGCAGGTGATGAAGTGACTAGTGTCAATATGACATGTTAATAGTTAATGGACATCACCAATTAGGGAGTGTGGTTGAAACAATAACACCCTAGTTAATTTAATGACCACAATGGATGTGCAAGTGTTTGATATACAATATCATGAACATCTGGAGTTACTTTACTAAAACATCACTATTTTTTTATAAGTGATAAAGTTATGTTAAGGAAAAAGATTATGATTTGTTTCTAACATAAACTTCTTAAGTGGGTAAACTATTGTTGATAGGATTGATATTTTGGGGTTTCTTACATAGGAAAACTTATTTTGCAGAAAATTTTAACAGACATCTTATGGTGTAAATGCCAGGAGCAGAGAAATTGGACTTCACAGGCTGGAACTTCTTAAACAGTACTATACTAAGTTTTCAGAATAGAAAGTCAATGAGTTATAACTTTATTGCTTGAAGATTTTAACTGTTTCTATGATAAAAAGAATATGTTGTTATTAATTAACATAATCTGTGAGTTTGATAGCTTTCCAAACTAAGGTCAATAAATCACCATTAATTGGAAAGAGAGCAGGAATAATTGATGATGATTCATTAAAATTTGTTTGGAAAGCTTTCAGACTTAGAAATTATGTTAATAACCACATAGAGTAATGCCTCATACTTTGAACTTAATTTGTTCCAGATCATCTGAATTCCAAATTGTTCAAAAACCAAAGTAATATTTTCCATAAGAAATAATGGAAAGTGAAATCTTGCTGTCTTCAAGGTTATTTTTATGTAAATTTGTTTATATTTGCAAGACAGCTCTGATTTAGTTTTAATGGAAAGCAAATTAATTCATTCCTCAACCCCAAACAATATTCACGTTGATAAACTTAAAACTGCGAATACACATTATTTAATGCAAAAAGAAGACAATTATATGCTCTAATAATAAATTAAAACTTGAAAATAATAAATAAAACATGTAAATAATATATAATAAAATGAAAATTGCATTTAGTGATTGCAGACTGCCAACTTTGGCATGTTAAACATGGCTGCCACAAGTGTACCACTTTTATGTTACACAATAAGTTCCTTCTTAATTTTAATTGTTGATACTACAATCTTACTTTGTTGCTTCCACACCCATTTTGGATCCACATTTAATGAACAATTTATTGTGACATGGTCACAGTGTCAAGCTGCAATTTTTTATCATATTTTTAATTGATTTAATTTAAAATAAATGCTCTCCACCTCAAATTAGTAGTGGCTTGCTCACATACATCATACTTTTCCTTTAACAATACAGTCATGCCATCTATGTAACATCTTTTGGGGGAAAATTTTTGAATTGAAACAACATGACTTCCAATGCAAACTGGAAGTTCACATATAGTTAATCAACTCTTCTGCACCTAAGGCTTCCATATCTGATCTCGTCTTTCAGCTGTCTAATTCTGTTCTTGAGATTAAGGAAAGACAGACAGACGGATGAATGACAATAGAAATTTATAGGTCTAAAAGTTTTCTAAATTGCAGCTCAGTGAGTAAAAGTTATATTGAGTTGAACAGAAAGTTTTGTTTATTTTTAACAGCTGTCATTACTTAAACATAGTTGTGTGATTTACTTGTAACAGTCATGAAATTTAACACATTATTGCTAATGAGAGATTGTATTCTTTGTTTAGATGCTTATTTTAAACTTTTTACTTCATATTTTGTTTGAATAAAATTGAGTCAAAATGTCTTCAGATAGAGAGCATATTTATCATGCTACTCTTTATAAATTTTGGAAAGGATATAATGCCATATAAACAGTTAAAAAGGTTCATAATATGTATGGGGAAGATGCTTCTAAGCTTTGAATATGCAAATTTGGTTAAAAAATTTTCATTTGGGAAATTTTGAAC